CCATGCACCACCACCCACCAAATCAAGAAAGAGCTATCAATCTGTCAATCCTTCTGGTACATACCTTTTTTTTCCTTTGAACAAAAGGAGAAGGAAGGGTTGGCATGTTGAGGACAGGACTGGGACACAAAACGAGAGGACTCTGAAGAAATGTGTTTATAGTATAAAATTATACATGCAAAGTCACATTTAGATATACCTCTGTAAACGCTATCCGTTTCTTATGTTTAAGAATTGCACTTCCTGATTTCGAGCGCATCTTTTTTGATCTACCCATTTTTTCTGCAATATTTTAAAAAGTTGTAGATCCGATCAATCAGATAGATCATTTATCATGATTCATGTTTACACATCATGCAGTCTACTTATTTGATTCCAGGTAGGCCTTGAACCCACAGTACTCACTAAGGGCCTTGATTTCCTCAGGAGTGATATTCATGGTCCTAGCGGGGGGGGGGGCGGCTACATCCCACAGCATCTGAAACTCCGGAGTTTTGCTGAATAGCATACCCTGCTTTATATCCATCCAGATTCCCATCTCCGCCTCCATGAACTTTCTGGCAGCATTAGAGAGATGGAAGGCAAAATGCCTTCATAGATATGAACTCTATGTTATGAGTTGTCGAGATCATATAGTCCAATATACTGGGCTGTCCTAAATGATTATTAGATAAGGTATGTCCTATCTATATAATCTATATTGTTAAAGTTTTATATCTATAAGTTTATAACTAGTTATAACCCATTTAAATATTCTCATGTTAATTGTATCCCCCTGTATCTCATGTTGGTTGTATTCCCCTGTATTCTCAGTTTGATTGAATACTACTTTATCTATATTGGTTTGTAAAAAAAATAGAAACAGACTTACCAGGGGAGGCAGCACAAACCCACACACCAGCCCAGAGACGTTTCCATACGTCGGTCTCCACGTACTCCTTAACCTCGCTTGAGGAGATATTCGCTCCCATAAAGGCCAAATACTTCATGGCAGATATTTGCCTATTAACCTCAATGGTGGTCATTTTCTAAATTTTAGATCTACCCATTTTTTCTGCAATATTTTAAAAAGTTGTAGAGTGCAAAATTTGGCTGCCACATGTGCCAAAAATAAATTAAAATGAAACAGGGTCCTAACTCAAACTTTCCATCACAATCCAGGAATCCCATTCCTCACACGGACAATTGAAATCCATTCAGGCTCAATACAGGTCGAGAGAATGAAAAGGGTGTCCAGTCTCAGGTTAATAACTCAAAAAGTATTTGACCTGCAGCTTTGAAATTTTAGGTCATGAATCTTGGAGTATGTCCGCGCCTGCATGCAGAGTTTTAAGGCTGTAGCTCAAAAACTCTAGGCGTGAGCCAAATTGAGCCGAATTGCTTCAGAAATTGCCCCTTGTCTAGCTAGGCTATATGGACCCTCAAGCTTTCTCTACTTCAATCTATAATAACTCAGAAAGTATTCGACCTGCAGCTTTGAAATTTTAGGTCTTACATCTTGGAGTATTTCCGCGCCTGCACGCAGAGTTTTAAGGCTGTAGCTCAAAAACTCTATGCGTGAGCTAAATTGAGCCAAATGTTCGGATTCTCAAAGGGGCATGAATACAGTAACGGGCTCAAGACCCGCCAGCCCCTGGGTTAAAAAAATCTGCCAATTTTGTCTCCAATTTGTGCCAGTCGCATGTTGCAATGTAAAAAGTCAACCAGTCTCCATCCTTTAGCCTGAACTCTAAGCTGGGTGCAGTGTGACAGTCTTGCTTAAGAGCCTGTGTATAAGTGCACCCTGCAACCCCCAGGTTTAAATATGTAAAGCAATCCGGCTGGAACCTGGACCACTNCCCAGAGTTCATGCGACAGTCTTGCGACTGTTGCCAAAAATGTTGGGATTTTCAGCTTTAGCGGCTGGGTCGGGCCACTTGCACTGCTGGGCGCCTCACCAAATTTTAATACAAGCTAGCCATGGTAATGGAGAGGATACCCACCAAGTCTTAGTCTGATCCCTTGAAAACTCTAGGCTGGGCGAGTGCAACAAGACCTGCCTGTCCCCTGTGTATAATTGCACCCCCCAACCCACAGGTTTACGTATGTAAAGCAATCCGACTGGAACCTGGACCACTTGCACTACTGGGCGCCTCACCAAATTTCAATACAAGCTAGGCATGGGAATGAAGAGGGTACCCACCAAGTCTTAGCTTGATCCCTTAAAAACTCTAGGCTGGGCAAGTGTAACGAGACCCGTCTGTCCCCTGGCTCAAAATATTGAGACAAGACCCACCAGTTGTGTGTTGCAATCTAATAGTGCACCAGTCTTGAAGGATTAGCAAGAACTCTGGCCTGAGCATGACTACGTTAACAGGTCTAAGTGTATAGACGTGAACCACCAGTCACTGTGCTCAAATTAGTTCAGAGTATACATCCCAGGCTTACACCAGGAACCCTCTCTCACTGTTCAAGCTCCTAAGTGAGTCGCACCAACACCCTAACCCACAAGGGCCGCCCTGACAGCCTCAGCCAAAACTTTTCATTACTGGTCTGAAACCATCTTCCTATATACTGACATCAAAACCCCAGAGCGAGCCAAGCAACATGCAGTACCGTCAAGTACCGACTTGAAAACTCAAGGCTGGTCGACGGATAGGGTCCGGGGCTCTGTGACATGGGTCCGGGTGTAGAGACAAGACCCGCCAGATGCATGTTGCACAATTGAATCCTGAAGAGGGTGTCCAGTCTCAGGTTAATAACTCAAAAAGTATTTAACCTGCAGCTTTAAAATTTTAGGTCATAAATCTTGGAGTGTTTCTGCGCCTGCATGCAGAGTTTTAAGGCTGTAGCTCAAAAACTCAAGGCATGAGCCAAATTGAGCCAAATGTTTGGATTCTCAAAGGGGCATGAATACCCAGCTAACATAAAGACCGACGGCGGTTATACCGCCTCGTTCTACGACAAGCTTCGCTGGAGTTGGGCGGAGCTCCGATCACCTGGTTCGATGTCAGTCTTGGCGGTATAGTAAAAGGATCACACCCAGATCTGTCGTATATACGAAATCGTACATGCGACAGTGAACAAATGAACTCCAAAATCTACACTTTGACATCGGTGCTTTGGAGTATATACTACAGTGATGACTTCTTCACCAAAATCTACATTCAATATCGGAGAGGTATACACCGATATCAATATACTATATCGGAAAAAATGTCACCGAATTCAACATACTACATCGTAGACTTTCTCACCGAATTGTCAGCGTAGTACTACCATACTCAGGGGTGACTACAGTATTTTTTCATGGGGGGTGGGGGAGCCCCTTTTTCTAAAAACTATGATGTTAAAGTTAAGTCAAGTTTAAAAATCCTATAATCCCCCCTGAGTATGAAAGAAGTATGCTGTATACGCCCCTGCATACTGCCTAGTGCCTACAAAAATTAAAAAATGGTTTAAAAGTAACAAAATGTATTTTTGTGCTTGAAAAATCTGTGATAACAATAATTTTCATAACAGGAATGAATATAAAAATATGCTGGCAGTCTGTGTTTGCCTGTGGAGAAAAAAAACTATTTTTTTTAAATTAGAATTTTTTAGCCTGAGACACATCCTGGCTACCCATGAGTGTCTACAAAAAATGTCAGCCCATTCGGTCCAACCGTTTGGCCAGCTATAGGGAACATATATAAGAATATCTTGTTTTATTATATAGAAGTAGATATATTCCCCCAAACTTTAGTGTTGTGAACTCAGGATCAAGTATTATCTCCATCTAGGCAGATCTACAGATTAAATTAATTCCTCATCAGTCAATATCGAAATTAAGCGTTCAAGTTTAACGAGACTCCACACCTAAGAGTCCGAATTTAATGAATTTGAGCCACTTCTCAAACCCGGTTTCAATTGAGCGCCAGCTAAAATCTAGAAACATTGACACATTTTAAGTGGAACCAACTATATTTGAGCCGCGGCTCAAATTCTTTAAATTTGGCCTCAGACTGACTGAGTCGAAGCAAAAGTAGAAAATTTAAATATCATAAACAATATTTTGGTTTAACCGGCCGTGTTTAAATGCTTTTACAGCTATTACCACAATTCCAGAATACTCATGAAACGCATCACCTTGGCCTTTGATTCTAACCCTTCACAGAAGTTAAGTTTGTTTGCGTGGAATATCAAAACATTTTCCAGGGTTTTAATTGCTGACATTTTGTGTAAAAAGAATTAAGAAGGATGAAAACTTGACTTTGATCGGCGGATCGCCATAAAAATGCAAAATTTTTGTTTAAAAAATATTTTTAAAAATATGAATTACGCTGTCTTTAAACATCTTATTTTTTAATCTTTCCTCACATTATAAAAAATCATTTCATATATAAGACCCCCCCGGCTATGCGTGCCCCACTTAGGGGGCACCTGAAGGGGGGGCACGTGCAACTAGTCCCCCTCCCTCGTACACCAGCATAATTTATTGAAAATTTCACTATTTGTATTGAATTTAAGACAAAAATGTTTTTCAACAATCTCTTAACTAATGAAATATACAATAATATATAAAGATTGAATTAAAAATTGATTTGTGAATTTAATTTAAATATCAGTTTCCAACAAATATTTTATGATTGTTTCATAACACACATAACAAGAACTTATATAGGGCCATTTTTGGTAAGCAGAACTGGCGCTGCGGGATGAACCGAACGCAAGGTTAAAGTGCCCAAATGGAAGCGCCTCAGACCCCACGAAAGGTGTTGGTTGCTTAAGACAGCAGGACGGTGGCCATGGAAGTCGGAATCCGCTCAGGAGTGTGTAACAACTCACCTGCCGAAGCAACCAGCCCTGAAAATGGATGGCGCTTAAGCTTCCTACTTATACCCCTGCGAGGGGCTCTGAACACAAGAGTTGGATGCAGTCCTACGCTGCAAGGTACATCTTGATCCGACTGCAGCAGCCAGGGCTGCAGACCGGACAATGCGGGGTTCCAACTAGTGAAACCCCGATGGATGTTGTGTAACCGACCCTGAAATAAGGGGTAGGCCTGTGACGAGCACAGGCCCGCAATATGCGTTCAAAGTGTCGATGTTCATGTGTCCTGCAGTTCACATTATGTCACGGATTTAGCTCCGTTCTTCATCGACCCCCAAGCCAACTGATCCACTGCATGGAAGTGTATAAGGTACGACAGAGTGTTTAGCTCTGGTAATTGACAAAGTTATAATCGTTAGAGCTTGCAATCTTTGGATCGCTGTGGTTTCTTATTTATAAGTATAGTATTAAATTGATATAAAATAACTAAATTCAAAATTGATTAAGATTATTATTAGACCTAAAAATATTAAAACATTTTATTCTTCTCAATCGTCAGATTATTCAGTACTTTACAAATCAGAATTGTATAGAGCTAAGTTCATGAATCATGATTCCTTTCTTCGATTTAAAATCAAATTTAAAAATTCAATAATATTTTTTATTTCGAAAACTGTAAACAAGATTAAAAAATTAATTAAATTCTAAATAGTTTAAATAATATACAATTGTATACAATTGTACTGAAGGAGATTAAAGTAACTAAATTGGACTATGTTTTTCCCAGGGGGGGGGGATAAAACTTTTTTTAAACTTTCCAGGGGGTTGGGCTCAGTCCCCAATATCCCCCCCCCCCCCACCGGAGTACCATATACGACCTCGATTGGAAGTATAAAATGTTTCAAAATAATGAAAATGAACATAAAGTTATCAAAAGTTAAATTAAGTTTAGGCGGGGTAAGGGGGGGGGGGAATGAATGAGGATTATATTTGATTAAAAGTCGTGTGTTGATAATTTAAAACGAAACTTTCTAAAAAAAATTTTAAAAAAAAACAAATAAAATAGCAAGGTTCTGACAATTGAAATCGTTTCTTTTCGTGTTTGAGCTTTTAAAAAAGTTCTCGTATTTAAAACGTATTTCCAATCAGAATTTGTGAAATTACGTAGATATCAACACTATCAACATGCTCTAAGAATTTGCCATCTTAAAATTACATAAAGAAATCTCATTCTCTGTCTCTGCTGAATAAAATCCGCAAATAACTTTTATATATAATATAAATTTACGATAATTTTTTAAATGAATTTCAATTAATATTACACCTTTAGTCCCTTTTTCGTCAATAAATGTTATAATTTTTATCTAAAAGATTTTAAAAAGATTTAAAAAAGATTTAAAAAAGATTTTCTAAAATTACAAGTCATTGTTTTTCCGTCAACATATTTTGTCAAGTAACCGTTGTGAATCATACAACTTTACCGAATACCAGATACAAAAAGTCATTTTGTATCGACGAACATCAAAGGGTCCTGGTGTAAGCTAGGGTTTCCAGTGAAAAGGGTGAATAGTTTTGCGAAAATTTCGCTTTTTTTTGCGAAAAAACATGTTTACCGAAAATTTCTCATATTTTCGCATTTCGTTCGCTCCCAAAATGCGAAAATTTTCGCAAAAATTGACATTTTATGCATCTTTAATTGTTAAAGCAAAATCATATTTCATTGCAGGAAAATATATGATGTGATTCAATTTGATTTTTGATTTCAGATGAAATAAAATGAGGTGTTGGATAATAATTCATTTTTTCCTCCTTTACATTCGCTCGTCATCTAATAATCTAGTAAGTTTTTTTTACAATTGGGTGGGGAGAAGGAGGCGTTCCTTCTTTTATCATCTAAGCCTGAGGCAATTTCCCCGAACCCCATAAACATATTTCTAGGTTCTACACGGTCCAGATGCTTTGTTTTATATATTTCTAGGTTCTACACAGTCCAGATTCTATGAATCATACAATTCTATGTTCTACATGGTCTAGATTTTATATATGATATATTTCTAGGTTGTACACGGTGTAGATGCTCTGCATTAAATATGTCTATGGACTAGAATCTATATCTTAAATATTTCTAGATAGATCTGGATTCTATATATGATATATTTCTAGGCTGTACACGGCGTAGATGCTCTACATTAAATATGTCTAGGTCCTATACATGGTCTAGAATCTATATATTATATATTTCTAGATTCTACACGGTCTACTATCTATATTTTATATATATTTCTAGGTTTTACACGGTGTAGATTCTAGATATCACATATTTCTAGGTCTCTTACACGGTTTAGATTCAATATATTATATATTTCTAGGTTCTACAGGGTCTAGATTATATATATTATATTTTTCTACGATCTATACGTTCTAGATTCGATATATTATATATTTCTAGGTTCTACACGATCTAGATTCTACATTTTATATATTTATAGGTTCTATACGGTCTGGATTCTATATATTATGTATTTCTAGGTTCTACAAGGTCTAGATTATATTTATTAAATATTTCTAGGTTCTATACGGTCTGCATTCTACATATTATGTATTTCTACTAGGTTCTACACGGTCTGAATTCTATATATTAAATATTTCTAGGTTCTACACGGTCTGGATTCTATATATTATATATTTCTAGGTTCTACAAGGTCTGGATTCTATATATTATATATTTCTAGTTTCTACACGGTCTGGATTTTATATATTATATATTTCTAGGTTCTAAACGATCTTGATTCTATATATTATATATTTCTAGGTTCTACACGGTCTAGATTCTATATATTATATATTTCTTGGTTCTAAACGATCTTGATTCTATATTTTATATATTTCTAGGTTCTAAACGGTCTGGATTCTATATATTATATATTTCTAGGTTCTAAACGGTCTGGATTCTATATATCATATATTTCTAGGTTCTAAACGATCTTGATTCTATATATTATGTATTTCTAGGTTCTACACGGTTTGGATTCTATATATTATATATTTCTAGGTTCTACACGGTCTAGATTCTATATATTATATATTTCTAGGTTCTACACGGTCTGGATTCTATATATTATATATTTCTAGGTTCTACATGGTCTGGATTCTATATTTTATATATTTCTACGTTATACGCGATCTGTATTCTCTTTATTATAATATGTATAGGTTCTACACGGACTGGATTCTATATATTATGTATTTCTAGGTTCTACATGATCTAGATTGTCTATATTATATATTTCTAGGTTCTACATGGTCTGGATTCTATCAGTAACTGTAAGAATATTCCAATAGAAAATGCCTTAAGGTAATTAGATATTAATTGATATTTTCACGATATTTTATAATTATTAATTATATTATTTTTTATTTAATTTTTTCTAGTTGTTGATTACGCCTTACATAGTTTAATTATACTTGGTATAATTTTCATTTTATCACAAAAACTCAAATGTTCTAATCTCAATATCTTTTAAATCTGTTGGTGCAAACATTTGATGTTTTAAACTTAGATTGTTTCATGCGAATGTATTATTATTTTTATAAAATATCTAAGGGTTACGTGTTGGAATTCAACAATATAACTAAGTAATTTTTCCAGATTTCTTCCTCGATACAAATAAAGGAAAAAACATTATTCGCCATTTTTTAAAGTAAATAAAATGACAATACGATGTATAAAGCTACTGTCGTGAATCAGTTATTTAACTTTTTGATTGGTGTAACATTTCTTTATTTGTGAAAAGCGCCCCCCCCCCCTACCATGTGACTATACTGTTCTAAAGCAAATAGTTTTATTTGAAGACGAATAGTTTGGCAAGATCTCATATAGAAGCCTGCACTATCTTTACTATCTTTATTTAGAAAAACTTTGAAACAATTTTTTTCCATTAATCACCGCTAGCTAGAGATGGGCACGATCGACTCTTTTTTCCTGTCATATGTTCATCCCTCGTAAACGATCCAATGTAGTTTTCTTAATCGTTTTAAAAAATTATTTCGTATGTTCTCAAAATTATCGTTTATGTTTCATCTATTACAAAACCTTTCGGAAAATTCGTTCGATCAGTAAAAATAATTTTCTTTAAAGTTCGTTCGAACGATTTTAAATCGTTATTTTGTTCATTTCTCCGAACGATCTATTTCGTACGTCCACATTTTTTTGAACAATTCACCCTTTTTCACGAAAAATTTCGATTCTTCTAAAAATTTCGTTCGTCTATAAAACAATGCCCATCTCTACTGTTAGCTTCACAAAATTAACATATTTCTATTTTATTTTACTTTATTTTACCTTAACTATAATTCTTTGCTTCTTAATGTTTATCCTCATTTGATTAAAAAAGAAGATATTTGGTAGCTATGTCACAAAAATTGTTTAGGTTAAACTAAATTCAGAGCATTTTTGCTTTTATTAACGAAACAATACAATTGAGAGAGTGCATTTTTATCTTTAATCAATGCTTATAAAACAAGATCAGTTTGGTTTGGTTTGGTATGGATTGGTATGGTTCGGTATGGCCATTTCATAACTCACTTTTGGCATGGGCTAGACAAAATTAAACGAACTGACGGCAATTCACCTCTAAAATTAATTCTACGGCTGAGGTTCAGCCAGTATCAAAGATATGACCTACTCAGCCTAGGAATACTATAGCCTGGGACAGAATTGAATTAATTCTAGGGGTCGGTGAACTACACACCGCCGGTTCAAATCCTTAATCATTCACAAAACTTTAACATTGAGTTAGTAATTCAAGATTTAAACTAACAATAGGTCTAGGTTAAGCAACCTAACTCAACATCAAAATATTTAGTCCTAGAGATCTAACACAAAAGTTTAGCCTCTGATCAAAATCAATCTAATAAATAGATTTCTGGTATCAAGCTGGATAGAACAGAATAAAGTACTTGTCATTTGACCGGGAAGGAGTTGGGGGGATATTGGGAGAAATATATAATCCATGTGGGTACAAAAATATGGCAAATAAACATATTAAACTACTGTTATGTTTGAATTTAGTCTTGACAATGCACTTGATTTCTACGATTTCTTAAAAATAGATTTTCTCAAGAAGAGATTCACAGAGATTTTTAATTTTTGGTGGCATGATATCTTCGATTAGCCTACCATTGATGCCTGAAACTTGAAAATTGAAAACTTCAGGCACTGATTTTCCAAAAATTACCCATACACTATGATATGATTAATTAAAAATTCTGAATTTTTTTCCTTTCTGCATCGCGTATCTCAAATTTAAAAATTAAATATGTTAAGAAGCTTTTACACTAAAGGGACTGTAAGCTTAATTTCAAATGACCCTCTCCTTGCAAAGATGGTAATACCCCATTTACAAGTTTTTTTAACTTTTTATTTTCATTTGCGGTTTTTCTGCAAAAGTAATTTGCGCATTTCTTGCTTTTAGAAAGCAATGGAGAAATTATTAGAATTTAACACTTTTAAAGTCAGAATAAGAATAAAAGGGTACCTTTGTAAATCGGGCACTTCTATCTTTGTATGGAGGGTTCCTAGAAACTATGGTTGGTTACAGACCCTTTAAGTTGTTGAAATTTCCCTGAACTGAAAACTTTAGAATGAGATATCCTTAATCCCGATTACTTAATCTGAGTATCCAATGGACACACTTCTTAAACCGTTCTTTCTTTCTTATAGTAAAGAAAAATCAGAAACCGTTTTTTTTAATTAGAGAGGCCCTACCGTTTCTGTATATATAATAATGGCGCGAAAAATTTCAAATTTCTCGGCTTTATATACGCGACTCTGATTGGTTGAATTTTATGCATTTTTCAAGGATACAAGCAAGATTAAGTTAGTCTTGAGATTAAGAAAAATAGAAGATCAAAAGCATTAATCTCGATATCCACCATTCTAAAGTTTTCAGTTCAGATCATTTCGTAGGGAATCCCTTTAGAAAGAAAAATGGTAATTGAAGTACAGTTGTTTTTATTTCCTATGGCTTCCATTTAATCCTTAGGAAAAAAAATTAGAAAAAAAGAATGTTTAATTTGTGAAAAGAAAAAATAGAAAGTAAAAACTAATAAAAGAAGAATGTTTCTTTCAGATTTGAACTTGGAAGGTTAAAAAAGTTGCACATTTTTCTAAACCAAAAAATTCACAATTGACTTTTTGACATTATTCCTGAGAGATCCCCTGCAGTAATATGTTTAGTTTGTAAATATACATTGAATGTTTAATAATCAAGCATTATCTAGATGAATCCAAGCATTATACAGGGCTTTACTTGCCAAGCATTCCGAACGTAAGGGATACTTAATCTATAGATAGGATACAGGGGGGGGGGGGGGGTTATAATTAGATTTAGCTGTTACAGTGATTCATATAGTTAACTCACATTTTATAAAAAAAAAAGATCAATATATAAAGTTAAGGTTTAAAGGGAGTATCTGACTAGACCCGGTAATTGAGCTAAGAGTGCAGATATTGTATAGAGATATGTTCAGAAATCATCTGAGACCTATTGGCTATAAGACGTGTTTCCGGTGTATAATTTCTAAGTAAGAGCGCCAAATCGATCTTTAAAATCCTATTTGGCGCTCGCCCCTACGCAACCGTGCTGCGCCGAAACCTGCCTTGGGGCGATTGATACTATTATAACCAAAAAACTCTGGAATAGGAAGTTGACATTTAAACTCAAGTTATGGCTTTACATAGTCCAATGAACTTGAGGCACAGCAATTGTGCAGTGTAAACAGACCCATTACAATTAAATTACTTACTAGTAAAGTTTTTTGCCTTGTTAATACATCAAATGAACTTCACATTTACTATAATGTCGTATTACAATTCCACAGTTTTCTGGTTATCACTGTATATTTAGACGAAGCAATTTTTCGGAATATTTTGTATTTGAACATCAAACCCCTGTAATAATGAATATCTAGGTACCCTGTAATAATGAATATCTAAGTACCCCTGTAATTATGAATATCTGGGTACCCCTGTAATCATGAATATCTAGGTATCCCTATAATCATGAATATCTAGGTACCCCTATAATCATGAATATCTAGGTACCCTGTAATAATGGATATCTAGGTATCCCTATAATCATGAATATCTAGGTACCCCTGTAATCATGAATATCTAGGTATCCCTATAATCATGAATATCTAGGTACCCTGTAATCATGAATATCTAGGTACCCCCTATAATCATGAATATCTAGGTACCCCTATAATCATGAATATTTAGGTACCCCTGTAATTATGAATATCTAGGTAGCCCTGTAATCATGAATGTTTAGGTATCCCTATAATCATGAATATCTAGGTACCCCTGCCCGAGATTTGTAATCCTGGGAGGATCTGGAGTTGGGAAATCAAGCCTTGCAAATATTCTGATAGGAAACCAAATCTTAAATGAAAACTAGCTCTGTAACCAACCAATCAACCCACCTATAATGCAACCATTTTAAAAAAACTTAGATCATATGGTTCTGATAAATGACAAATTAAAGTTTGAGGCAAATCGGTGCAAAGACGGGTTTCAACTATTTATGCTCAGACATAAAAACAGACAACTAGAGATGGGCATTGTTTTTTTGAACAAACGAACATTTTGAGAAAAAACGAAATCTTTTGTAAAAAGGGTATCGTTCAGAAAAAAACGAACGCAGGATGAACGAAATGGATCGTTCAGAGAAGTAAAAAAATTGTCATTTTTAAACGAACGAAAATAAGGACGATTAAAGATTGTTGGAACGATCTTGACTGTTCATGAAAGATTTTTTTCCTTTTGTTGTTCACAGAACTAACGAATTTTCAACGATCGTGTTTTAATGAATGAACGATTTTTTCGAATACACTTTATTAAACCAACAGTTTTTTTATACTAAACTAAATATTTTTTCGAAAAACTTCTAAATAACTATCGATTTTCTTAAACAAAATATTTTTCTGAACGAACGATTTTACTGATCGATTATTCAGTGAGAAAACAAACGAAATAGAGGGAAAGTGAACGAAAATTACCGAACAAACGAAATCAATTATATTTTGAACGATTGAAAAAAAACGAACCAAATTAGCCGTTCATGAATTATGAACAAACGTAATGTAAAAAAGCCAAACGTGCTCATCTCTACAGACAACATAAAGGGATTTGCCAGGACAGGCTAGGGGGCCGAGCGCTGCGGCCACATGTCTTACATTTAAGACCCCACCAGCTGCCAGTCTCTTCGCAGGCATCCCACAGATATTATTTTTCTGGATCACAAAATTCAATCCCCTCTCTTTGTTTTGGAATTTTACGGGGCATGCGCGCGCAGCATAAAATGGCAAATGCCAACATACAAGCAGACTCACTGAAACTATTGATTAGAATCCAGTTCTACCTAGAAACTTTTGTGCGTCCTTATTATTGTTTATGAAATATTTTAAATTCTTCACTCACATGTAGTCGGTGTAGGACGCACGTCTATACTCAGAGTGAATTATTTATGGCGTAAATTTTATAACTGCGACACGAGATGCATGTCTCTAGTAAAAAATGTTTCTAGTTAATATTACTGTTTTCATCTTTATCAATATTATATCGTTAATATTATTGATTGGTATATATCTAATATCTGCTACTATTTGCATTAAACATATACGTTAACTTTATAGCACGATGATTACTTTATAGCACGCCAATAATACAATTCACCATGAAGTGAGTATGAATGATTAAGTAACAAATAGTTTTAAAAAATATGTTTCTAGAAAAAATTATTGTTTTCATCTTTATGATTGGTATCTGCTGCTATTTATATTAAATATCTCAATCCATCTCCATATAATGTTTTTGTTTACTTTGATTTCTTAATATAGTCTCCAGTGCAAACAATATACAGGGAGGTGCAGTAAACACTACACACAGGGTGTACAAAACAATATACAGGGTGGTGCAGAAAACACTACACACAGGGTGTACAAAACAATTTACAGAGTGGTGCAGTAAACACTACACACAGGGTGTACAAAACAATATACAGAGTGGTGCAGTAAACACTACACACAGGGTGTACAAAACAATTTACAGAGTGGTGCAGTAAACACTAAACACAGGGTGTACAAAACAGTATAAAAAAACTTTTGTTTGGAAAATAAATATTTTGAAATATTTAAGCACTTTTAGTCCATTGTAAGTTTTAATTTAGCAAATTTAAACATTTAAACATTTAAAAATAAAGTTGACAATTCCATGAAAAAATTGTGTAAAACTTTAGTATGTACTATGTAAGACTGTAAAAATTAGACACCCTTTTTAAAGTGTTTGTTTACACTGTACAGACTTTACGTTTAATAATACCCTAATATACATATTAAGCTTAATATTTTATACATAAATATACATTCTTTTATGAAGAACAATTTTTTATAAAAAGGGGTCACATTTAGAGCATTTAGTTTTTTAACTTCATTAACTCGTTTAAATGTTTTTGTAGCCCTAGATATATATATTTAAGAACTATAAAGCACTTGTTGCAAAATTCTAATAGATTTTTGCATTAGAACTTAAATCCTTTGATTAAATCTGTTTTTATCATTTTTTTGAGGGGGGGGGAGGGCCGCGTTTTTCAAACATTTTAGCTTAAATATTAAATACTTAAAATTCTCTAGGGATTAAAACTGCTAAAACTAAGAAATTACATTATTCAAGAAAAACTTTAGAAAAACACTTCCAATTCCCTATTTCAAGAGAATAGTATTGATGGAATACAATAAAAAGTGTTAAACATATTTTATTTGAAAATGAAATGAAATTTTTGAAATATTTGAAATATTCATAACTTGCTCCAATAATTTTATCCTCTAGCAATTTTTTAAGTCTTCAGTATTATAATTATGTACGTTAACTCCAATGAATTTAAGAACAGACAAATTTATATACAGTCGTCATCATATACATCAATATAATAAAGACGACTTTTGATTTTAATTTTGATTTTGAGAGAAGTCATCAATTCATTGTATAGATATAAACGTCGACCACAGTCGCCCTATTGAATGTAGACAAATACACTAGAAATTAATAATTAATTCCACAAAAGCAAAAAGTGTGTCAGCTGTAGAGAAGTGGCGGCCATGTTGGATTGATATTTGGTTTGGTTTGGATAGGACGGGACAAGGAATACCGGAGTTCGGATCCAAGAAGACAATGTTTTAATGTGGGACATTACTCTAGTCCAGGAGCAGAGGTAAATAGAGACAGAAATAGTATATTATTTTAAATGTTGATAATTAGTTCACTATTTAAAAGAAGAAATTTTAAAAATGCAAACATGGTGAATTTTTTATAAAGTGTCCGATAAAGTGTCCAAAAAGAAAGTTAACTCAATGAATAACCATGCTATGTCGAAAAACATTTAAAATAAAACGAGGGTTTTTTCTCTTTTCAGTGAAAACTGTTGGAAAGTCTAAAGTCTACGCACGATTTGCTAGAAAAAGAATAAAACCTATAATTTGATAACTAATAAGTTATTTTCTAGGTTGGAGGAATCACGCGCCATGTTTGTGCAGAGACAGGACCCTGGCTAGGATATGGACCTAATGTAACTTTTTCAAATTATTATTATTAATATTATTGTTTTTATTATTATTATTATTATTATTATTATTATTATCATCATTATTGCTATCTACATATTAAAACAATACATTCGTACATATTCATACAAACAACACATCTTCTTCTATATTATAATAAATATGTTCCCTCTGGCCGGCCAAACGGCTAGACCGAATATCGGGCTGAAGTTATTTTAGGACAATCATAGGTAGCCTGGGGCCGAGTGTTATAAGCTAAAAAAAATAGTTTTTTTATCCAATTTTTTTTCACGGGCAACGCCGGGCCCTTCAGCTAGTTAATCATATTATTATTCTTATTAGTACTATTACTAATTATTATTAACATCATTATCACTATTATTAGTTTTAGTATTATTATAATTATTATCATTATCATCATTATTATTACTATATTATTATTATTATTATTATTTTCATTATTATCATTGCCCCTCAGGTAACTGTGGTGGACACCCCTGGATTTGGCGAGGAGCTAGAGAAGGAGGAGGAGACGGTGGATCTCATTGTTAACTTCTTGAGAAACGACATGCAGTTCGTCAACACCTTCATCCTAGCATTTAAGGTAGACAACCTTAATCAAACTACATAGAAGGAGAAGGTAAAATGTATACGATACTACTGGTACAACTCTGCAACCACGTAGCTCCTCTAGTTTTTAGTTAATGCTCAAGTATAAAAAGTAAATATATCCGGTTACATGTTAGAAACTGTATGTCAGGAGGAGAAGGTAAAATGTAAACGATACCACTGGTACAACTCTGTAACCACGTAGCTCCTCTAGTTTTTAGTTTATGCTCAAGTATAAAAAGTAAATATATCCGGTTACATGTTAGAAACTATATGTCAGGAGGAGAAGGTAAATATATCCGGTTACATGTTAGAAATTTGACCCATTTTGGTTTATCTCAATAGCTTTTTGATAACAGGACTTATGATTAAAGAGAATATAAGATTTTAAGGACGTGCAACAGTCTAACAGATATGAAGAATCTTGTTTATAAAAGAAAACTAAAATTGTCTGAATATACATATATCTTTATCATCGTAATTTTCATGACTTCTGAGATGAGATTTAAAAAGCTTATACACGCAATCTTTGAGTCTGCTTAGACTCATGTAAAGCTCAAATCAAGACCTGGGTTTTGGATGATCTTGAGTTTAGTAAAAACCAACCATCTCTCTTTAAGGCTCGAGTCTTCAGAAGCTGATGATCGTGAAATCTTTTATATTTATTGTACATTTAAAATCTTGGGAATTATTTGTGGTGTCAAATTTTATTAAATATATAAAATAAGCAATACTATGAAAATAATGTTTCTACTTAAAGTTGAAATTTTCGAAATTTACATCTCCTTGTCATAGCTGATCTGAAAGCATTCTGTCTGCTACAGAGAGAAAGCTTGCTAAACAGTCATTCATTGGTGGAATCACTCGGGTTTAAGCTTATAAAATATCATCTCTAAACTTCTATCCGACATCATTTATTTTCATTGCGGAATAAAATATTCATCATCTTTCTTTATAATTTACTCATTCATTGTCACATTTCAACATCTCAATATCCTCCTATATAGAGGTTTGTGTGTAAATTCTTACAATATTCTTTCATAAACAAAATCACCATTTTATTCCCTGAGAAGTTGCTAAAACCAAATGGACTTTTAGACTCTTAAACTCTTAGACACATGAATTGATTCTTTGTCACAAATTCTTATTTTCTAATTCCTATATCTTTGCAACCCAGTGTCGTAAACCTTAGATATTTCAAACTCAAAATTCTGTTGTATCAAATTATCTAAGTTTAAAATATCAAATACCAATTTGGTTGCAAAGATATAGGTATTAGAAAATTTGAGTTTGTGGCAAATTGACTCAATTCGATTCTTTTTTGAAAATAGTTTATAGAACATAGCTCAAGATTTAGCAATTTGTTCTCCGCCACACCAAGCTAATTGGACCGTAACATTATCTTTAGTTGTGCGCGCTATTGTTCAATGTAACTGCATTATTTCAGTAAATCAACTGCTTTTCGAGCTATTTTAACCAGCCTTAAAGGGAAAGTAAGGGTTATTTCAAGTGACCCTTCGTGAAAAGATGTTAATGCCCGATTCAAAATGTTACCCTTTACAACTTTGTCTGATCAAGTATGAATTAGATGTCCATGTTTTTGTTTCTTTAAACTGTTTGTTTTTATTTGCGATTTCTGTGCTTAAATAACGTGCATATTTTTTGTCTTTAAGATTCAATGGAGAAACTCACAGAAATAAACACTTTTCGAGTCAGGGAAAAGACAGTATATTTCACATTTTTGATCTGATCAAGGATACAAGGGTACCATTGTAAATCGGGTATTTCCATCTTTGCTTGTAAGGTTCCTTGAAGGTATGCGCACCTAGAGTTCCTTTCAGACCTGAAAATAATTTTTATCATTAAATATCAGATTTTAATGTTAATCAGCTTGTCCTCATATTTGTGTAGTAACCACTGTTCACATTAAATCAATCCTTTATTCTTACATTTTTCATTTGGTCCATGGGATATGAAACCATTTGGACGGATGGATCAAGAAATCAATAAAGTTGTGTTCCAAAACATTCATTCATTTATTCTTCATTCGTTAACATTTATTTCTTTGTTGATCCAGCTAAAGTTAAGTTTCAGTGGACAGAACTCAAGTTTTCAACAATAAATTTAGTTAGAAACTAGTATATAAGCTAAATTATAACTTTTAGTTTAGCCTTTAACCCTAGATATCCTGCCCCTTCCCCCCCCCCCCC